TTGTTGTTGTTGTTGTTGTTGTTGTTGTTGTTGTTGTTGTTGTTGTTTGTGTATGTTTTGTTGGTAGTACTGATTTAGGACAACCACCAGATATCACCACATCAATTTGGATTTGTCAATCGAAAGGCTGCAAGTCCCCGATTGGTCCACTTCAATGGGTGGGGCTCTCCACGAGCCATACGTTAGCCTAGGAACCTTGTGTGGATTCTCATGGCCCACAACACATTAAATATATTGACCATGAACAAACCCTTACTCACTTGTTTCATCCGGTCTTTAATGCGATTTGGGTCAGCACATTAAGCATAGATATGCTACTGCTAACCATTCACCCTCTGTTTTTGGTCTTCAGCCTCTTTGGGCGAAGACGGGATGGTCTCGAGCCGCCTGCAACGGAGCTCTCGTGTTGCGTTTCACCACTCTTGCCGCATCTCTTGGACATGCAAGACATAGAAGGAACCTGGCTGGTTGGCGGTTAACTTAATAGGAAGCAGGGTGGGGAATAGAGGAACCACACAGATCTGCAATGATCTGCATGTGGAGACTTTGGTTTCCAGAGATGGAGTTCTCCTGAGATGGAATTTACATTGACCAAGGATGTTTTGAGGATCGCAGGGCCAGGAGTGTCCTTTGAGACCGATTCTGTGCATGCATTTCAACCATCCTGAGGCATCAGAGACAGGCCACAAATGGGTTTGATGGTTCAAGATTCTGTGCACGCATGTCAAAGGCTTGCAGGAGCTCACCAAAGGTTTTGGATTGCAGGAGATTCAAAACTACCAAAAAGATCAACACGTTTCAAAAAGTTCAGATGCAGATCGATGGCTGTTTTATACTTGACAAGCATTTTAGTATCGTTTGCCTTGTTGACTTTTGTTCTACGGCCATTTCCTCTCTGCCGAGACCTTGCTGAAGGCGAGCTAGAGCTTTGCCCCTTGTGAAACGAAGAGCGATCATAGGTGATTTTGAGGCCAAGCATGCGAAGCAGATATGTTCAGATCCTCAACCTGTGTTCAGAAGCAGAGCAGTGATATAAGGACCATGTTCCCTTTTTTGGCTGAGTCATAGTTGGAATATTTCAAGACTAAGACTGCCCCCGGTCAATCGGTGTGGCTGCTCCTCGAGCGGAGCTCCAAGGGTTGGATTGAGTAACGGTTGACGTCAGTGTCGATATGTTCGATGGAGAGTTAACTCATGGCTGTCTATCTTCTGTGATGAAACTACAATGTGTTATGCTTATAGAAGAGAGGCGGTCCCTGTGTCCCAGATCTGTTCCACTTGATTTTGACCGTTGTCCAATTCTCTAGGACTGAACTTGCTATCGAGTTCTTTCAAGGCCGATGCTGCCTGTGAAATTTCGATAGATCGCTCTTGTTAGCTCGTTGCTGCTGGCTGGACAGTACCGGCTGCTTTTCTTTTATACTATTGAACTTCTTGGAAGTGTTGGGCAATGTCAGGCTGATTTGAGGGCTGCAGTCAAGCTAGGAGCTTCAGACCCAGGTTGGTGCCAAACTCAACATGTCCAGTTGAGTGGCCTTCTATCCGACCAGGAGCAGGGTCGGAAGGTCCAGGTATACAGTTAAACCACCTGGTCCAAGTGCAGGTTTATTTATATGTGATGTTATGTGTTTTGATATCCTTTTTCGGAGTTGATTCTTTGGCCAGTGATACTGTCCAATCCTCGAGCCCAGAAAAAGAAATCCACTAGTCACTAGGCCATACTAGGGTTGTTGCACCATTCGACAAAACCAGTATAGACAATGATAGAGTCTTTTATATATAGAGACATGTAACATGTATATAATTGTATACATATATACTGTACTGTATATGTACTGTATATATTATGCATGCATAGAGTTCATATGTTGTGTTTCTGACCCCCCTTTGGACTGGAGCTACAAATGTTCAGTCCAGCATTCTCAATGTGGGATTGCACTATATATATATATTTTGTCCAACAGAGCCTTTGGTGACAAAGGCCTTTTTCTTTAAGTTGAATTTCCCAAGACACTTTGTGCCCGCCATTGCGAGGCTGCCACCATGGTTCGACCAACAAATCCGATTGCAGCATTGCAGCTTTGCAAGTGTGTCAACACTGGAAGAACTCGTGGGGCAACACCGAAAGTGTGCCAGCTTCTTGTCCCAGCCATGTGGCGTATGTAGCCCTTGCCCGCTGGGTTTTCAACGACGGAATCCATCGGCCAGTCATCAACGACAGAATCCTCGGCGGAGGACCAAAGAGCCGCCATATCGGTGTCACGGATGAAGGGGGGCGGTTGGGAGTTGCTCGAAAGAAGTCATCAATGAGATTGCTTAGCCTCGCTTCCTTCTAGTTTTTTCTTCCAAATTGGAGAACCTCAGCTGCAGGGAAGGAAACATTAAAAGGGGATATGCCCCCTGAAGAAAACATATGGAGCACTTGTTGGGCTGCTTTGGGTGTGTTTGAAATTAGGTGATCCCAGAATACCACTAGCAAGCACACTTCCTCCAAGAAATCTGGCCGCTCTCAATTGCCAAGTCACTGTTGACTGAACAAGTTCAAGTGGTGAGAAGTTGACAGTTATTATGATCATGCCAAACACAAGAGGTGATCAGTGCCCCAAGCTCAAGAGGTGATCAGCAAATTACTGCAAGACGGTCTATGGCCGCACCACTCAATGCTTTGGTATAGCAAGACCGTCTGTGGCGCTGCTCATTTGGCTACAGCTTCCCCTGCAGCTTCTTCCCCCGTTTCGAAGGCACCCGAGGGACCCATAGGGGGCTGTGGGTCCGAGTGGTGAAGGGATAGACAGGGTGTTCGCTTCTTTGTCGTGATGGTCATGGGTGTTCGCTTCTTGCGTAAGCATGTTCTGAGCATTGCATTGTTTTTTTGGCATGGTCCTTTTAGCTTTGCTGGTGTGGATTCAAGATTCACTTGATATGCTTGCCGGTGACAGCTTGGGGAGCTTGTGAGAGGGAGAGTAATGGACATATTATAAGTATATGTATTTGTGTCATTTTGGTAACAAGGACGATACGAACGGGGCGCTCCTGGCATCGCTACTAGGAACAAGGGCATCGCTACGAACGGAGCATATATATTTACCCTTCAGCTGGCTCAGGTGCCAGCCGAAGGAACCAGGTTGCTAAGTGAAGTGGCTGTGGCTGTGTTGGCCACCATGCCCAGCTTGGCGTCCACAGGAAGAGTCTTGACAGTGTTTGTCAACAGCATACGAACCCTGCATCCGGTGGATTTGAGAAAAACAGAGCGAAAACCAGCATGCCTCCGCCATGAAGCAGCTGGTGTAAGTGAGAAGAAAAGGATTGTGCAGGGTCACTCCAGGATTCTGCTCTTGCACCAGTCTGGATTCATCTAGATTCTTGCACCAGTCTTGATTCATCTAGATTCTGCAGATCTTTTTGCACCAGGTCATTCATTGCACCAACCCTTTGTTGAGAAGCGTATAGCCAGGGGTCAATCACGGATGTTTCATCGTTTGCGAAAAAGGAGCTCATTCTCATTGCTCGACCTGAAAAGGCGTTCCGCCGCCTAGCATCCGTGATGTTCCTTCAGCTTCTAGACATACCGAATGCACGTCCTGGACGAAGGGTGAGATCTATGGAGGAGAGACACCGAGGAATGTCTACGGACATTACTTTCAGCAACAAGTCATTTATCAGGGATGTCTCGGAAGTACTCGTAGTCAAGTTCTTCTAGTTGCTGCCTATGTACTTTCGTACTGCTGTGTGCATCCGCCTTGCGGATTCTTCTCTGATTTAGTCAAGACATGTCGATCATGTCGAGACCTACGCTCAGAGTGGCGAGGTTGGCCTCGTGCGACACCATGCTTCCAGACGTAAAAGCGTTTACTTTCTGCGAACTAGACACACGTTTTGATCTTTGGAGCTTTTTTGCTAGTAGTTTGACAATGTGCATAATTGGAAGTTGGATTTATGCATTCCAGCCCTTGTAAAGGACTGACCAGAATCCTTAAATGTAAGTTCAAGGAATCCCTATCAGCCATCCATACAATAGTGTTCTTGAGATTCCACCTGGAAATGCAAACTGGCCTGTGGTACTCAATATTGAGGCGGCAGATATGTTGACTTGGGGCGAACCGAAGCTCCATTAAGCAAAGCGGAGAAACGGTCCGTGTTACTCAATGGTCCACAACGGTCCACTCTATATTTTGTTCAGAGGTACAAAAGCAAGTCCTTCCAGAAGCCCTTCCATGGTGTTGCACGCCAGGTGCGATGGATTGTGCCTGCCTCAAGGGCTTGCGCAAGCTGGCGGATTCAGTGCGGATGCCCTGCCAACGGTGCTTCTAGTGAAGTTAGAAGAACTAGTCACATACCTTGTAGGTTCGATTTCAGTTCGAGCTGCCGGCCTTTGGAAGAAGTGTAGACATCTAGTTGGAGATTCGGTAACATGCGAACGCAAATTACAGTGGACGGATTCTTTTTTGAACATTGGCATTCCAATGTTGGAGCATACCTTGAGCGGTCGGCCCACACCCCAGGACCATGAGGTATTTGAATGGATTGGGGATGATTGGGGGCAACATGGGGGCAACTGAGAGCTTGTTTCTGGCGAAAACCTCTGAATACGAGGCCGGATGCCCAGTGGATCCCAGTAAACCACTATAGGTCACCAGCGGCTCCTTTCCAGACTTAGAGATGCTTCCCTACTAGGATGCCTGAGCGAGTGTTCCTTCTTGCCCCTTGGAAAATAGATTGTTCGAAGGTACTGTCCCACCCTCGCAATATCTCGCAATGCAGGTTGGATGTGGCAACGCATTAGTACCACCGCCGCCGCCGCCGCCCTTGCCCTTTGAAGGACACTGTGGAATGCCCGTCACCACGGGATATTGTGAGATGTACATTCATGATTCCTGAGATAAACAGCAAGTAGCAAATACACGACACTATCGATATGTGAAGCCTTTACGGAGACTTGCCGTGCCTGTTTGCCGCGATCGAAAATGCTTCGCACGTTGCATTGCGCCGCAAGCAACAAGGCAAGACTCTTGGAATCTGCCTTGGTTTGGAGACGCTTTTGGCAAAAAGTTTAATGTATTCCCCACAGGACAGGGTCGTGTTTGTGCTGGGCAGAACATCCATAAATTATGTAAGTAAATTAATATCAATCAAATAATCAGTTCTTTTGTATCCCATTGCAAAGTCGGGCTAGCGATTCTGGAACAACTGTCCGTTTTGTCACCAATGTCTCATCTCGAATGTCCAGCTGTCCATTGTATCAACAGATGGGTCATGTTAAACCGACGAGTGAAAGCTGATGGCAGGCCAAAGGGGCCGAAAAGGGTGTTATCTGGATACGCGTGTGAGCATGTGCTACTTCGACCCGACACTTTTTGGACACTGAAGAGTGGCTGGTCGCTACCAATGTGCTTCACTGTCCAGGACACACCTCTTCGAGCTCCAAGCCACCGCCATTGGTCCCGCCCAACCAGTGGGAGTCACCCAGTTGGTCTTAGTGATTTGAGCACCAACAATCCAGGTGTGGAGTATGGAGTACGTCTTGTGTTTTCTCTCATCACCCACATGAGCCCGCATGGAATTGGAATAGGGCATGTAAACGAAACTGACTCATCTTCTCGCTTTGGTAGTCAGGGGGTTGTACGCATGTGGAATCTTTACCTATTTACCTCCGGTTTCCTCAATGTACAACCCACATGTAGCAACTATGCCATCCTGTGGCATACTGGTTACTGCATTGTTGCATAATTACTCTGTTTTTTGTTGCCCCCGGGAAAACTTACAGCCAACTTTGATCAGAGCCAAAGCGAAACCATGCTTGCACACAAATGAGTGGTGGTTTAGTTTACATTTTGCTTTGTTGCCAAATCACGCCAGCGCCAGTGTTGGTGTGTCAGTGCTGGGGTCCAAACAACAACTAGCACCACTGGTGGCTGTATTTTGGCCAAACTGAAGGGTTGATCGGTTCACAAGTGAGGTTGCTTTAAACTCCTTTGGTTATCGGGTCTGGCTCCATCTGCCAAAAAGTGACAAAACACATCCCACCACCACGATTGATCGAGTAAGCAAACGTACAGACGACCACTTAGACCACCGCGGACACGGGCTCCTTCAAGGCCTTTGGTAGTCCTCATGGCCTCCCAAGAAATTCCTACTATTCAAAGACACGAGGGTTATATACGAGTTCGTATTCGTCTTCAAATTCGTACGGTCAACCTCATGGTTTTTTAGAAGGAAGGGTTAGACAAATTTGCGTCGAACTTTGTGCTCTTCTTCCATGAGAGCAGGTGCTGCACGGCGATCGGACCTGGAGCCCCATCGGGCTTGTGTTCAGGGTGCCCAGAGAGATCGCGGGCGTTCGCGGGCGAATAAAGCTGGAGAAAGAATCTGCCCCCACGGATTACCAGGAAGTGTTCCTCCATGTTCGTTCAGGGTAAACCCATGGATTAATTACTACTAGTCAATATCTCACGAGAGATGAGGTTCACTACCGCTTACCGTCATGTTTGTTACTTTGGATCAAGTCAGTTTGACCCACGGCCGCTACCAAGGCAACCTGTATGCTAGACATGTTTGCATGTTCTTTGCAGCAGATTTCATTGTGCAGAACTCCAGTCTTTTTGAGGTTGAACAGTTGAGCATTGAGGTTCGGCGTGAACATCCACTTGCTTGGGTACTTGCAAGGCAGTTGCAACCGTTTGCTTGAAAGACCATGTTCTTTTCTTAAACACCTCCACACAACTGACCAACTCTAATAAGTTCAATGATTTTCCACCCTCCATGTTCTTCATCCAGTTCGGTGTTTGCACCGCTGTGCCTCAGGTCGAATCGGTTTGCAGGGTGACCTGCTGGTTCTCGGCGACTTGGTCCAGACGGCAGGACGTTCATATGGGACCTGTCCTAACGGCCGGTGGGCGATCAGATCCTGTGAGTGATGAGTTTTTCTATGTAAAAAGTGGATCACCGGGTTAGCTATAGTCATTATATGTCATTATCATTATTGAGTATATGAATATGAATGTTTGATAGTTCTTTGATTCTTTAAACTCGAAGCAGATAACCCCACATCAGGCGAACAACACTAGCCTCTTTGGATGACAGAAGGCCAAGAAGCTTGCATAGCCCTCGACTTTTGAATGCATTGACTGTGAACTAGTTTTGACATATATAAGGTGAGCCGACCCAGAGTTTTCCAGACTGCTGACTTTGGTTGAGTGAACTGGGAAACTGGGGAAGCTGGGGCGGCTTTTCTGGGACCAACGCAATGACCCAAAAGCCACGTGATTCTCCGTCACTAACGTCCATGGGATGTGAAGCAGGCGTTTCTCCATGCGTTTCTCAGGCAGTAAGGACACAGGCCGTGTGCTTTGTGCGCGACTCTTGGCCGGAGTGGACGCCTCAGATTCGTCCGGAGAACAAGGCCCGAGAGTCCAAGATATTGGCATATTTTTGACAAATACTCGTACAATATACAATTATACAATCGTACAATTTGGGTTCGTCATGTCGATATTGATCCAGGCGTGTCTCTTGAACAAGTCGATGCAGACTTTTTATAGAGATGATAAGCATGGCTTGAACTGGATACAACATGAAGATCACGGCGCTTCCGAAGATAGGATACTAGTTCCGTTGCGTGCTTACTGTTACGCTGATTGACGCTGTACTTTGTAACAAAGTGGCGACCGTGGAGCACGCTCTGTTTGGGTTACATGGTGTTCAGCAGAGTTCGTTATGGGCTGGTCTGACCTTCTTTCTCAGTGACCTCTTTCTGCCAAGGCAACCATCACTGTTCATGGCCACGACATTTGCATAAGTGGCAAATCCATTGCACCCTTGCGGTTGCAGGCGCATTGTTTCATCGGCTTCGGGCTTCGAAGTGCCGACAAAGTACGTCGAACTGCGCATTTGGCGACGATGTCATCGGTCGCACAAAAAGTGATGTCACTGCTCTGATGCCCCAACAAAAAGTCCTTGGAGAGCAAAGTCCGACATGTAAAGAGCCAGAGAGCGACTTGTCCCGAAGACTGCCAGGTTTGGTGCAGTGCCGAGGCCTGTGACATCGAGGAAGTGTCTTTTGAACGAAGCCAGTGCGTAATATAAGTCTTAACATGTCTTAAACCATGAATGGCGAGCAAGACCGCTTTGTGATGTTGTAAAGGTGGATTGAGTACTGATACTGATACCCGTTTTTCTTATTGAAGTAGGATTGACTGTGGAGCAGACTGGTGGAGCTACCGGCAAAGCATATCCATCCAAAACAGCTTTGCTGGACACGTGTGGGTTACAACGGTTTACAGATCGAATGAGCAAGCATGATTCGCAGTTGGATACCTTACAAGGGAAGATATGCAAAGACACAGTCACAGTTGTTGAAAACATCAATCCCTGCTATCTCCTGCTTCGGCAAGATCAAGTGAGGGAAGAACGGCCTTATCAAGTGGGGCACTTGGGTATCTGAAAACGGAATTGTAATAGCCCCACCTAGAACCAATGGCAAGGGAAGGGTTTGATAGATTACACTGGTATCCAACCTTTTCATGAGCCTCAACTTGTTGATCCACTTTCTCATCGTGCTGGATATTCAATCCCAAACTCCCCAGCAACCCTCCAAAACAGACTTTGCCACATTCTTGACCTATTTTGTAACTTTAAAACTTTATGATCAACAAATCAATAGAAATCATGAATGTTCTATATAAAATTCTATAACCATCAAAAGTCCCCAACGGTTCGATCGACCCGCTGGACAGCATCGCACCGTTTCGCCTCGCCGTCGGGATCAAGGCCTTCCGATGGGCGCGGCAACTCCATGATGCCTCCCACCTTTGGGGCAAACGAGAGGTGCAGCGGAGCTACACATTGAGCCACACGATCCACACGTTTTACCTCGTGTTCTCTTGCAAAGTTGGTCTTGTTTTTGTGTTGCATGGATTGCATGGATGATTTAGGGTGATTTATGTCATTGCTCACTGAGAGAAGAGTATGTTGTGGGATGTTAGTTGTGGGTTTGTAAAGTGTAAACAGGCGTTTAAAAAGTCAGGATAATTTGCATTTGGCTAGACTTTGAACATGCACCTTTTATGCTTGTAGACGAATATCGAAGACACATGGATGGATAGATATGTGTGCATCATCGGAGCAGTAAAGGAACAACTACTCAACTGTTTACATCTCTGTTCTTTGGTTTGCTCTGGCTTCCACTATATCTACCTTCTCGTACCTTCTCCAAACCAATATGCCGCCTGGACCTGGTAGGAATATAATTGTCTAACCATGTCTAACCCATGTGAGGGGTGTTTTCCCTGCTTCTAGGGGAAAGGAAACGAGGGTCACCACAGAACCTTCTCCATGCCTTGCCAGGCACTGAGGGAAACCTTACGCGTGAGCGCCTCTCGGAGCACTGTTCGGTGCTCCTCCAGTGCTCAGACCTTCCGCTCCAGCAGTAAGCAGGAACGAAACCGAGGGGGTGTTGGGAGTCGTACTGGGCGCCTGGATATGGATGTAGCAAAGGAGACGGTAGACCCGGAGTTTCTCCCAATATACAGTATATAACCATACAATACTATACATCATGTTATTGTTTTCCTGCAAACATGGATCCAGGGGCCTTAGGAGGAAGATTTTGCTCTTTGAGGTAGCAACCATTGACTTCTTTTTGCGACCACATGACCTCGTGATGTGAAACTGCGATTCTCGTGACGTGGCCCTCAGTGTCCCACGGTCCTTTCATGCGACCATCGGAACAAGTTTCCACAAGAGCCTCTCATCGCCGAAGAAGTGCCCCCGCAGCAGCTGAATCACTGCTTGCATGAAGTGAATGGCTTGGTCTCATGATATCAAGACCGCTCGATTGTCAGGATCAATTGTAATCACGATAATGAGAGAACCATAGAGAACCATATGACTCTTTCACAGAAACTCCTGAGACAGAGGAGTCCTGGCCACAAATCGTTGAAGAGGAGTACTCGCAGGCCCACGTAGACAGGGGGAGGCGCATGTCGACATGATGGTTCTCCGAGGTGTTTTAGGTTCTGGGGATTGCTTGCCCCGCTCAAATCCAACAGATGGAAGAAGATCAATACGTCCGCAAACACCGAGGTGTGAGATGGGTTCAGTATTGATGATCGTGTGTTGTTGTTTTTTCTCGGCCGACTCTGTTCGGGGCAGTGCGGACCAGTTTTTGTGTCGGTGTATGTCGGTGCACCCTGGCTAGCTAGAGGAATCCAATATATATCAATATATCAAGAAACACAAAACTGGAAACATGATGACAAATGATTAAACTATGTTAACATATTTCTTTTGGTCGAGCTATCAAATCATGGAATCAATCTGCGACCCGACGAGTTTCGTTGAAGTCTTTGCAGAGGGTTTTTTGTCCAAGATCGATGCGATGCAGGTTGAGCGAATAGAAACGCCACTCCCACTGAAGGGGATTTAGAATAACGCATGGTCACCATCCCATCCATACTGAACTAAGACCTGAGATGACCATTTACAGGCGACTTATTTCTGACATCACCAAGAAAGCTGTCATCATTTGTCACAAGGGACGTTGTCCCATTTTTGTGTCCAGTCCATCTCAAGTCTTGACCGATCTTCGACCTGTTTAGATCCCAAACTTCAGGTGCCGGTTTTCATCCGGATGCGAGAGGCTCGAGGTTCGATGATCGCTCAAAATTTTATGAATTTCAAGGAGTTCCATGATTTGGCTTTGCCCCAAGTCTTGAATCGTCTTGTTACTTGTTTTCGTTCGGGATAGACGATTCAACAAGAAGTCCTGCAGGAGTACCGTTTGGATTCTGATTCATCACTCTTTTCGCCTTCGGAGTCTGAAGTCGGGGTCCTTAGAACGGGACTGGTCGAACTGTTGGTGAGCCGTGGATGGCTCACCGAGCAGAGCAACTGAAGGGTTCCCTCACCAGCCTGGGTGACAAGACAGTTCTCTTAGCGTCAATTTGTAAGTGACTGTTTGTTGTTCGGGGGTTTGTGAGTTTGAGTTTTTGATAGTATCCTGAAGCTTCAAGCGTGAATATATGTGAACATGTTCTAATGTTTCTATATGTTTAACCATTATTGGTTATTGCAAGACCTTTGCCCGCAAAAAGCCGCGTTCAAACCCTTTAAACTGGACATGTTGGCGCAATAGTTCACATTCAATAGTTCAATTCATGAAGACTTGACATGATTGGACTGTGCATCGACAGTAGCTTTTGATGCATGCAAATAACAACTGCAAACACGACTGGTAGATACTGGTAGCAATTTTTGAAGCAGAGCTGGATGCTGAGTCAGAAAAATGGTTTGCCCCCAACTAATTCAAGAGATGGAAGTATCTCCAACTATTTATGTATATAATTCTATTATGTTTCACTTGCTGTGCAATATGTCATTTGCAAAGCTGCCATTTCACACGTATCACCCAAACAATGGTATCGGTATAGACACATCTGCACATAGTACGCACAAACCCGCAAGAGCCGCAAGAGTACGCAAATGGGGATTTATGTATTTGTGATGTCTAAATGGTTCTCGGGATTTCATCGAGTGTCCATCACATAACTTTAACTTCTCAGGATTTCCCTTGGGATGGTGGGTGGAGAAAGGGACGTTGTCTCCAACAAGAATCATTTTGTGTACACTTCCAGTAGCCTTTCACGCTTTCAAATTTTCATTGATCGCGCACTTGTTTGCACTGTGGCTTGCAGGCTTTCCACTCGACATATTGCATCAAGAAAGAAAGGGAGCATTGCTAGCGTTCAATTTTGGTTGAAAGCGTCCACTTTTGATTGGAATCGATGGAATCAGCCAAACCGACCCAATAAGAAAAAAGAACCCAATAGTTTATATTACTATTGAGGGTCCAGGATTTGTGATAGTTGTCCATGTCGCCCGAAAAGAGCACTGCTTCAGATGCAGCAACTCCACGCTCTAACGTGGATGTCCCCGGACACCGAGGTGGACGAAGACGAGCGATGGTTTGAAAATGAGAACAACTACGACCCAGAGGACGTCAACTCCAGCGGGGTGGATTATGATCCTTCGACACGTCGGATGTCCACCTTCAGTTGACTGGGGTATTTGATTTTGACAAGCCGTAAGTGTGAAACTATCTAAGGAGAGATGAGACTAGGACAACCACTGTTTACTGTTTGTTTACAAGATCTTATTGTATTTGGTTACCTGCTATATATAGATATATACACCTGCGATATATACATATATACTTGTTATAAGAAATGGTTTGGTTGTGTTTTAGCGTGTGTAGATCATGTTGTAGCCGGCACAAGTGATTTTGTGGTTTTCTTGCCGGCAAGACTTTTCTTGCAGATTCTCGAGTGCTTCGTAGTGTTGACTATCCTCGCTGACAGACGCTTGTTGTGGATATGTTGCCTGAGATTTGGCGTCAAGATGCGGCAAGAAGATGAGCAGATACGGTAGACAAGTGGTATATAGACAGAATTATTGCGATGGATCGAGCTGTGCTTCAGGACGAGTGTGCTTTGGGTGAGGAGGTGGGACCTTTAGACATCGCTACAGATGCGACAAGGCAAAGCTAATAAACATGCCTTGGTCGCATGGGAGTCGGTTGATGAGGCCCGATCCCACCCCAATTGAGTATGACCACTCTCCAGCTCTCCAGGGAGTGTTTTTGAGTGTCACAGGATATTATATATGTACACATGACAGTGTTTGAAGGATATTCTAGGAGTTCTTCACTTTTTTCCTTTATGACAGTGTAGTTTGTATATAATTCATTGGGACTTTGGAAATACCGTTGGAAGCATTGCATCGAGGTCTCCTTCCCTTCGCACACAGCTTCAGCTCCTTCTTTGCGGCGGCCACCCTTGATGCCCTCGCGAAGTGCGGTAGGGAGGCCCAGTGGCCCATTTGAGGCCCATTGGTCTCATGAGAAGGCCGGTTTGGGTGAGTTTTGGCGGCGCGATGCCTCGCAGCTCTGGAGGATGACGTCGGATGCTATTTTTTTGGGGGGGGTCCAGACTCGGTCATTGGTTTTTCACACTCCAGTTTATTCCCACGCCGTTTCGGGATGAATTAATTTCGATCAAACCTCCTTGCACCTGAATGGGAATTTTACCAGGTGTCGGGGTCCCATAGCACGGCCTAGAAGACCAAAAGGTGTACCAAAGCCAAAAAAGACACCAAAGTTTGCCAGGTTCAACAATTCATCTCTTCTCGGCCCGATCAGGCGATCACAGCCTCCGAGCCTTCGCTGCAGGTGTGGTCTGAGACCATTGGGGTTTGGGGACACCAACGGCCGGCGCTGGTGGGAGGTTCATCCCTATTGGGTCAGAGACCCCAGGCAAGAAGAGCCTGAGCAGTGGCAACAAATATGTTTGTTAACCTGTAGACTATGACTCTAATGATCTCTAATGATCTCTAATGTAACTGATGCTGTAACATGTAATTAACAAGTAACATGCTGTAACTGATGCTGTTCACGGTCGCCGTTGGACCATGGATGAGTCAAACCCGCTCACGGTCTCCCAAATACACTCCTCGCCCCAAAAGTGTGGGAAATTGACGGGTTGAAGGCCAGTGTTCCAGTGGATGGGTCCAGGCACGAACCAATGAACGTCAACCTGAAAGATCAACTCATCCAGAGGTACCTCGGACCATCCTGAACCTGATAAATCGATGGATGTTCACTTGTCATTGTTTACACCGTCAAACGAGCAAGCTTGAATGAAGAGGCATGATACGGAGTAACACTTGTTCCGTCTGGCGCTGCCTGTCCTTGGTCCACGAGCTAGATTCTCTTGAATATGGGCCTGTAAAGAGGATTGACCATGGCATGCTTTGGAATTGGTAGTGACACTTGTACAAGAAACCCTGCCACTACCGTGTGTTGACACTGCTGGCAAGAAGTGTCGGGGTTGCCGATCTGGCATGTGTCCATCGCAAGGTGGGAGCTTTTGAAACTGACGCCTGGCACCAAGAATTGGGGCTCGAGATCTGAAAAGAGTCGGGGCCAGACTATGTCCGGGGCCAGTTAGGGCATTGGGCACCGCTTAGCAAACCCAAAGTTGGGTATATTGCTGAGTGCAGTCGACAAAAATAGTTCTTGTCAGGCTCACTCTTGATAGCGTGATTGATTACTGTTGTTGGTCGTATTTTGCATTGTTGCTCATATGTCCCTTTGCGTGACACATGGTTTTGCCACTTGTCACTTTTCCGGAAGACAATTGATTCTTGCCAACATATATAGAATGGATTTTGTTTGCGTTAAAGCCCGTGGTGGCTCACTATTGAACTTGAAAACAGAAACTCGTCGGCACATTGTGTCGTTATAGTGCTGGGTGTTTTTGACAATCAAGAAATTGGATGCGAGGCTGACGCAGCTGA